CTGTCCTGGGCATCCTCAATTTCATTAAATTCTGTCAGCCATTATGATAGCTGCGCGTCGTACGTAAAATTGAACGAAGCTTCTGAATTTATCAGGACTATTCACGGCTTCATATTGCCCGGATCGCGATATTAACAGCTATTATCCCTAGGCCGTGTGTCCAACTTCTCTCAGATAAAGTCAATTTTAAGGGTGGATCACACTGACCACTGTCTCAATGAGGTACAATAGAGCCCAGCTTTTTCCTAGTAGGTACAGGGCGGTTTACTAGGACATGACGCTCCCCGTCAATGACTCTACATCTGCTTTCGTGAGGAATTTTAACCCTTCGTACCCTCAGCCAAGAGAGAAAGAAGCGCGCAAGGCGCAGGTGTATTGTACTACCACACATAAAACACATATGGGTACCTCAGAACAGCTCAGCAGCTACAATATATCCCTTTCTTCTCAGCATGGCTGAGATCTATTACCGCTGATGTGTTTATTGAGCTTACTTTCCCCCTCATCCATCCTGCCTTGAAGCACGGAGGTTGTTCTTCGGATTAATCGGACGCCCACCGTTCCAGCGAAAGCATCTAGTAAGCGTGGAATATCGCAGTGAGAGCTGTTTTGAGACCCTCATGTACACATTAGCTGTGGCCGTCTCCGAGAGAGAGTTAGACGCCTATGCGGCGATAAGTAAATCTCAACACCTGAACTTAATTCTCCGCTTTTTGATTTCCGTGTGAATGACTATTCAAGCGTAGTTACCAGCAAAAATTATCAAGATTAATATTCGAAAGTACATGCTGTATGGCGATTTTTTATTCGTGATACATATATACTTATGATCAGGGGTGATAGATAAAGCTGGTCATGAATGCTGTAACGGTGTTTCACGTGCCTAGGTAGAAGAGTGCGGGCCACACAATATTGTTTGACCACACAAAAGTGTGGCGTCACTTTAACAAGAAGTCAATACGTGGCTGGACTGCCAGTAGTTATGCGTTTAATTTGGATTTACAATATAGATAGGAAAACCTATAGATTTAGATATAGGCGGCTTTGCCGCAAATAAAACCGAGAAATACACTTTACGTTTTAAATGGAAGAGTTAGTTAGCCTTGGGATCAGGTTGTAATCACTCTTGAAGTAAGTGGATTGCGATCCGCTACACTCGTGTACGGCAGCTCCGCTGCAAATACTTACCACCATTGGGATATTTTTTCACTATATACCCCAGAATGGTATATGGCTATAAAAATTGTTAACGGAAGCTTGCATTATGTCGTTCAATAAAAGTGTTCGATAATAAAGTTTGTTTGAGATGAGAGGCACCTTTAGGAATGAATACATCATCACCTCAATCAGACAAGCGCCATGGCCAAGTGCCAAATCTATCGAGCTTTTAGAAGAGTACAAATTAGTAATATGATACATGAAAACAATGATAAATTGCGATTACTGCTTAATAGCTGCAAGCCATACGCAATCCATACCGGTCGTTTTACCAACACCGTTTCGCACACATTTAAGGACGTGGATGGCGTAGTTGAGACACTAATACAGGCTGTATGATCACATCGCGGGATATCTCGTAATCACGTGGACGGGGTCGTCTTCAGCGAGATGCCGGCGGTTATTACTGTTCGTGAAGATCCCACCAACGGTGCAGCACGTTACACAGAAACTACTGGCGAAACATGAACCTGCATCTTTCGACATTATGGACTTCCTTTCTGAAGACAAAAGTTCCTCGAGATTGTGGTCGATTATTATATCGTCAGCTTTATTACTGTTAATCTGACCCTTGGCTCTAAAAGATGTAGCGTGACTCGATCTATCAATTTGAATAATTCGCCAACTGACTGTGTGCTAAAATATTGCTAACACTCGTTCCCTTATATTAATAAAACTATCGCTTCTTTTTGCTGCTCTGCTCGAAATATGTCTTCATGATTGATACGACCGTACTTGTCAACATTCGGCGATCCTCTCACGCTCCTCACGCTCAAGTTCAAGCTCCCGATCTCGCCGATCCGATTCCAGGCGGCGCTCTTCCCGTTTCAGCGAAAACATTTGCTCATTCGTTTGGGTCTGCTGCTCAACAACTTTCTGCAGAAGTGACTTGAGTTCAGCAAAATTGGTCGTCTCCGTGTAACGCGAGCTCGAAGTCACTTCTCCGGTTGAAAACACCGCGTTTTTTGTTGTTAAGTATGCTGCTGTAGCCAATGCTTGCGCTAACTTATGAGTTATGGTAACTGGCTCAAGTGATTTAGCATCGTGGTGCTAAAAGGCAACATGTGAGTTCAATTCCCACTAAGGATGGTTAGTGCGTGTTTCACATTTATGGTTAAGACTGCATATGTCTGCATAGTTTAAGTC